GGCCCTTAGTCTTCCTCAATTTCTCCCTAGCAAGTGCTAAGTGGTGAAGAAATAGCAGTTTCAGAAATTGTATTTCACCTGTGACAGCAGAACTGTACTGCAGAAATCCCTTCAAGCAAAATTTAATAGTAAATTCAAGTGTAATTGTCACTTTTAAAGAAGAGATGCAAAGATGTCAAGATGATGGCTGCAACCCTTTTTTTGCATGCATCACACATGCGACACATGTAAGAGGCGGAAGGCCCAGATCTTGCAGTCACAAACCCCATCCTGATGCTTTGGATGCCCTCTGTGGCTGCTCCTGCTCACCCCTCTCTTTTGCTGCAACAGCTCAACAAAAGCAGCATTATCCACAGCTTCACAATAAAATAAAATGTGGCACAAAAAAAGAAAACGGATAAATGGAGGGTAAAACCAGCACTTACACCTTAGCATTGGACCGATTCCCAATGCTCAGGTGTAAATCCTGTGAGTCTATAACCACCCTCGGCTAAAATCTTATTGGCTAGGTTATCCGTCAGTGAGTTGTATGAACTGGTCAGCGCAGCTGATTTATATTTGGTGTGTTTTGGCATACTAAGAGTGAAATTAGGGGTATAATCTGAGCAGCTTACCTAACTTCCTTCTATCAGCAGATGTTCTCCTGGGGGCCTTCTAGAAGATCAGGAGGCTGCCCTGTGTCCTTCTCAAACATTACTCATCCCTTCTATTGCCCATGGTTCAGCCAACTATGAATTACCATGTTGTGCACATGGCTCTAATGACCCTCTGGAAATGGTTTAGGGAGAGTTGGAGGGGACAAGATGGGAAACAAAGCCCCTGGGAATGGAGAAGAGCCTTTTGTACAACCAAAACCAAAAATGGTTTTGTACAAACCATTTTTGTACAACAGGCCTGGTACAACCATCCAATCAGTGTGAGAAATGAACCACAAGCAGCCCATTGCAAAAGAGCAGGAGAAAGAAACTCAGGATTTAACCCTTGGGGCATAAAAGCAGATATGGACCTGTTAAAGCTGTTATAATTCTATTGAAGTCCAGTGCTTTACTTGTTCCAAGTTGTAGGAAAAAGAAATAGTGCATGGTCCTGGAGGCCACCTCTGACAGGAGTTGTCCTTTTGGTGGGCCCACTTACCATCTTTCTCCTCTGTAGCCACTGGATGACCTTCCATGTCTTGAAAAAGAGCCACAATAATCTGCTTTGGTGATGTCCTCACTTTATCCTAAACATGGAAACACTATTGTAGGAAGGCTCTCTCTCTCTCTCTCTCTGCTCATTGCTTGAAATTTTTGTTCCTTCCTCATCTTGTTGTTGGTACAGTTCATTCTCCTCACTTTTTGTCAGTGATGGTCATCTTTGGGCCATTACACTGTTTCCCTCCCACTCAACCAACCCAGAAGATACCTGTGCTATGCTAACATTTTAATGTGATGTTTCCTTCAGATTTTAGTCCTGTAGACACATGCAGCACAGTCTCCTCTGTGCTTCTTGGAGTTAAGTAGAGTCTTGGATTGTTTCAACAACCTCCCCACCCCCAGCTGCAATGGCCATTTGTGCAAACATTGCAGCTCTTCTTACTAAAATGCTATAACTTTAACACATCCTATTTTAAACCACCAGATGTCACTGTTAGGGCATTGAAAGATATGTACCTAGAGATCCTATAGGTATCTGGTTTAGGTTCACTTGCTATTTACCAGTTGGGCTAAAGGAGTTGATTGGGTATGCACTATCATGCTACAGAAAAAGCAAAAGGGAATTTCCATTCCTTTGGCTTTTCTAGAATGGTTGTGATCCCAATTGTTGTCATCTATGTGGAATCAATTCCACTGTCTTGTGCCAAGTCTGTTATACAAAATCTGTGCCCAGGGATTGCCTTGTTTCTGTTGATCACAGCTCTGCAAGTCTTTTGGAAAAGGAGCAAAACAGTAGAGAAGGGGGAAATAAATGTTGCATGCTTCAATGCCAAGTTCAAGGGTTGCTCTTTTTTGAGAGAAAATTGGGCTGGTGAGATGGTTGCTCACTCCTTTAAGATTTGCACAATTTAAGATTATTTGCTGAAAACCTGAAGGGGAATCCTGAGGCTGTGCATCCAACTGCACATTGACAAGCATGGATTCAAGGATGGAGAAGAGGGAAGAGCAGAACAAACTTCTGAGCAAATGGTCCAACCCAAGTTCAGTTCAGCAAGCTTCTTTGAAAGAGAAGCAATTTTAAAACCTTGAAATATAGATGGAGGATGAACTAGTTTGCAAACAAATAGATCCAATGGAATCTTGGGTCCATAGTCCTTCCCAGGCCAAAGAAAGTTCCATATGCTAAATGGAAAGGGGTTTGCTCCAAGTTAAGGGGAATCCAAAACCAGGAGCACATTGGTCCAGTCTGAGACTGTCAAACTTAAGATTTTGATCTGTCCCTATCAAAGGCTGAAGATAGGAGCTGAAGGATCCACTGATCTCCAAGAGATGAAGCCAACTGGGAGAATAGCCACTGCACAATTAAGTCCTGAGATGGTAGCCATGGTTGATCCCTGATGCCACTGCCAAGATGAGCTGTAAACCAAATACCTGCTCCCAGACCGCAAATTGTCTGATACTAAAACTACAGATTTACCCAAAGTTGGATGCTTGAACAGCGTAATATTCTGGAGACACATCACATCTCTTGGAAGAGTAGGCAGCATATAAACTTTGGTAAATAAATTTAAAAAATGTAAATGTCACTGCTCTGGAGAGATGCAGAGTTGGCATCTGCCTATGGCCCTCTACAACTATCTACCTTGGACATGAAATGTGTTTTAGCCTTCTTAATGACCTCATGGAAGAGAGGCCATCATAGCTGGGCTGAAAAATTCCATATGACCTCTAGAGGACAGCAGACACAGTCAGAAGCCCCATTTGCTGCTAGTGGCTATCTTGAACTTTCCAGTTCAGATGTGATACTTCTAGCAGTTATTTTATGGCCACATATGGAAAGCAACTGGCATTGTTCCTGTGGCAATGCAGTCATTAGAAGAATAGTGTAATAGTGTAATACCTATGCCCTGTGACCCCAAAGGGCAGTGAGGCAAGAGAGATAGACGTTCTGGAAGACTTCTCTTTTTAAAATAAGTAGTACAGCTGTTTGAGGTACTTAGGTTCATGAACCCAGAACACTTTACCTTCTGGTGATGGCATTTCTGACAATGGCCTGATTTGTGCTTTACATCCTTCCTGGATGAGGGTAGCTTGGCCACTATTAATTCCTACATTCGCACCTCCACAGAAGCTAGGCAGGATTAGCATCAGGTTGGGGGGAGCCATCTGAGAATCCCAGGATATTGGCTAGATTGAGACTCCCTGGGAGACAATTTCAAACCACTTCATAATTCTATAATAAAACTGCACGAGGTCACATCAGCTTGAGGGCATCTTAATATTCTTCTTGTGGGAAAGTGATATAATGTCTGGCAGGCCCTGGGAACACAGGGGAGGAAATGGTACCTTTGCAAGAGACAACTCAGCCCAGGGGAGGAGGGAAGCATGAAAAAGAGACTCAGAAACTCTTAATTACATTAGGGGTAAGTTGAGCTGGAGAATGGTTTTGACAAGACTGTCAAGATTCTGCTAGGAAACACCAACTAGCAATAAAGATCTTTCCAAAAATCCAAGTGCTCATTGTTTCCCAAATTTGCCTGCCTCAAAGGGAGTCCTCTTTGACTAAGCCTGGAAGCCAGAGATGGTGCAAAATGTGACAGCCAGGATGCATTGTTTGGACACCTGGTTTAGCATGCATTCTGCCAGGGGTGAGGCAAGTGTGCTGGCTGCCTCATAGCTCCCAAGCTAAGGTGATGCAGTTGGTAAAAATAAAGGTCCCAACATCTTGGTGAAATGGTTTCCCCATTATGATCTGAGGACAAAGATATTCACAGACTTGCTGGCCTCATGCCCTGCCAATGATCTTCTGGTTCACATGGCTGCTCTGGAAATAATCAACTTTTGAAATGCTCTGTCCCCAGTATTTTAGGCCTCAGTTAAAAATTGGATTCATGTCTTCCAGTCCAAGCAGTGAATCTGTGTGCAGACACATGGATGCATGTAGGAATGGAGGGGTTTAAAATATGTTTTAACTGGTGAATTGTAATCTGTATTTGTATTTTAAGACAGTTGCTTTAAATCTGTTTCTGTACAGATGCTTAAACTAGACAAGAAGAAAATCGACTCATTTGAGCTATGGTGTTGGAGAAGGCTCCCATGCATTCCTTGGTCAGCAAAGGTGACAAACAAGCAAGTTCTGGAGCATATAAAACCAGACATTGCTGGAGGGAAGAATCACAAAATTCTGCCTTACTTATTTCGGCCATGTCATACAATCAAACTCACTGGAAAAGGAAGTTATGCTCAGAATGGCCAATGGTAAAAGGAAACGAGGCCACCAAAAAACACAGTGGCTAGACACCATCAAAGCCAGCGCCAACCAGAGCATATAACAACCAAAAGCCATACAAGATCAGAAAATGTGGAGAGTTGGTCCATAGAATCACCAAGAATCGGACACAATTGAACAGACAGTACCATCACCATACTGCTTAAGTATGTAGGCAGAAGTAAATAGCTTGTCATAGAGACATTGGATTTGGGTGACCAAGGGCTCTTGGGAAACGGCCAATTATCTCTCCTTACTGGCATTTCTAAACTAAAGAAAGCTTTCTTTTGGGCAAGGCATACTGTTTTGCCTTCAGCATCCCTACACAGAAAATATTCTAAAATCCTACTTGAGAAACATGTTTGACTGTGTGGAACAGGAGATGTTGAAACAGTCCAACAGGTTATTATGTTGTATATCATCTATAGGAATATTTGCAATGCTTATATTCTGCCTTTTATATCAGTATCGTAGGGCAATCTGACAATACTTATATGTTCATCCTTTTTTTCAGATTGCAAATCATTAGGAAAGAGCTCGTCCAATCTGAAGATAAACTATTAAGGACATTTGAGGAAAGCACCCAAGACCACATACATTTTCCCCTGTTAAGCACATTTATTAAGCACACATTCTATGTGGTGATAACATCTTGGCTATTTCACTCTTATAAGGCTCCACTTTAAGAAGGTACATATGTGGAGAATACTCATTAAGTCATTTGTGGGAAGGTAGACCCCACTGATTCTTACAGCTGTCCAGCAAGGTAAAAGAAGAAGCTGCTTGACCAAGAATGAAGAACTGCATTTCTTCCGAAGGGTGAGATACTTGTTATTTATCTCAGGGAGCTTTAGGTAGATGAAAAACATTTCAACTCCAGAACATCTCATTCTTGCAGAAAACATACCAGGAGGTCCAGCAGTTTTCTGGAAGTAAATCTTCTACACTCCAAACATAGAACACTTCCTGTTCTTCAAGATTGACTTCTACAAAACTGCCAGACCATCTCCAGAATGACAAGGTTTAGACAGAACGTTACGGGGCCAAAATCCAAACACTTTGCATGTAGCAAATGGTTCCAATACCAAGCAGTTGTAAGCCAATCAGCAATCATGCGTGTACACAACACAATCCCTTCCTATTGGTCACTAGGAAAGTCACCATTTTTCCTCCAGACCCACAAATAAAATACCCCAAAGGCTAAACCTTCTGCCCTGTACCAGGGAGTGGTGGGGAACTTGTGCCCTTGAAACCACTGAGCTACAACTTGGCAACATCACTGGTATAGGTTGAAGAATTCATCTGAAGCACCTCTGCCCTGAGAAAAAAATGTCAACAGCCTTCTTTATAGACATGGTAGCAGGAATATGCCAGATACACCAGCCAAGAGAACTGGTAGTCTGCACTGACATTTTTTAAATTACTTTTAAGGCAAATTATAATAGTGTCCATCTTAAATGGACCCTTATGAATATCCCTTTCTTTCTGCATTTGTAAAGACAGCATGTAGAGACTTCAGAATGCACTTGGGAATGAGGAATAAAGTCTAGGTTGTATTTAGGGCATTTGAGTGGGAAGGCACCTCTTTCTTGATGCGAGAATATATACCCTTGTTTTGTTCTTGGTCTTTGTTAGAACCTTTTGACGTAGTCCTGATTATTCAAGAAGGACTGTAACAGGATTGCATCTTTGGTCAGAGTTAATATATGACAATTGAGCATGACATCTACCTGGGTAACATTCAAGATGACCACTTACAGAAATGCAAGCTTTCTACAAGAGACAGAGGAATGCTTCCCAGCACAGCATCCTCACCTGGTCACCTTGACACAATGACAAAATAAGGACAGAAATGCTCCGATGCGAGCCCCGTGCTTCTGTACTTGCACACCAACATCAGATACAAATACATAAGTTGTGGGGTTTGCCTCTCATGAGCCACATAGATCACTTGCTTCCCTCCCGGTTTTCACTCTGCAAAATTAGACCATTAATCAATTTTGGAACTCGTTTCTCTGATTAAATGCAGGATGCCCTGTACCTTTGGATAATTAAGTCTCACTGGGTCACATTTAGCACAAACACAACTGTAGACCTTGCTCCACAAATAAGACCAGCTAATGGGCAGGAACAGAAGATGACCAAACAAACTACGCAAGTTTTACATCTCTATTACTTCACTTCTGTTTGCACAAATGTCACTCCTGGGTCAGAGGTGGGCCGGTGAAAGTTCAGATTTTCCTCCAGTTGTTACCACTTGGATCAAACTTCCAGAGCTTGGCCGGTTTTTACTGATGATCCAGTCATGAAAAGTTCTGCCAGAACAAATGGATACAACTGCATGAGTTAATTTCATTTCTGTAAGCTTCATGTTCCAAATGCTTATTGAGTTTCCATATCTATTCCATAATTTCCATATAAAAAAACACCATACAAGTTCGGAGATTTTTGTCATGCATAAAAACAACACTGTTCTCAGCTTCATTGGGACTACCACTAAAAGGAGATAAACTATCTCCTATATATAAGGAGATAAACTATTATTATTCCCATTCTACAATTAAAAAAACCCACTATGAAGTTGAGGTTGGTTCAAGACAGCTCAGCTAAGGGAGATCTCTCTTCTGTTTTTCAGATTATCCTGGTTACACAAGGCAGAAAATATAAATAAATATATCAGCTATATAAATGGCTGAGCCACTGGAGGAATTGATGCAGGACACTTTTCTTTCCAGGAAAAGAAATTGATTTGTCTGTCTGTCTGTCCATCTACCTATCCATAGCATAAGATTTTGAAAACATGTTATAGGTACTTTCATAATATGGCTGCCAGGGGGCACATAATCAGTTACCCATACCCATTTACCAGAACACTACCCACTGCCCCACTGCAGCCTCCCCAACATAAGTCTTTCTTCTACTCCTGCTTAGTTGACTCCTTTTCCAGAGCTGATGGGTCCAATGCAACAGTGCATGAGGGCTCAGCCAATCAGGACTTTTATTTTACTGGAAAGTTTTTGGGGACCTGAGTGATCCTGGATGCCACTGGAGACAATGCAAATAAAGATAATACTTGAGGCTGGTGCTTTGTTTCCCGTTCTTTTAAATTAATGTTTTTTAATCAAGTATAAAGAATTAGGTGAGGAAGGGAGCCTAGGCATCCTGTTGGCATCCTGTTGACCTAAGGCATACTGGGACGACAATGAAACCCCAGTTCTGGAAAACAGTATTGATATCACGTGTCCTGATATTTACATATCTAAAGAATGCTCAGGATGGCAGTCTGGGGTCACAATGACATTTACCAGTCACCCCAGAGCCCACGGCACTTTCAGGTTTGGCCTTCCGAGTAGGAATGCAGCAAGGATGTTAAACAAACAAACAAAGAAAAAATCAAGATGGTGGCCAGGATTGTACAAGAGAAGCCTTGCCCCCTTTTTACATAAAAAAAGAGGCAGGTCTTCTCTTGTGCAGTCACGGGCACCATCTTGACTTTTTCCCCTCCCTGTGGACGCCCCTGACTCCAAGCATCAGTTTGCAGAACCTTCATGAAAAGGAGATTTTGTTATTCCACAAAACTCAGAACCCAAATGCATGCAACAGATGTTCAAGGCCCAAACACCTTGGAGCTGGAGAACAGTTTCCCCAGCACAGCCACGTTTGCTCACCCTGCAATGAAATCTAGTGGCGTCCAGGAGCTGAAGTCAGCCTCTGGCATGGACGTCCGGTTCATTGGAGTATCCAAGGTAACCCTGGAAGAGAGAGAGGGAGACAGAGATAAGCTCTTTTGCTTGCAGTCCAGTTCATCTGATAAACCCTGCCTGCATTTCTTCTGTGCTCTAACAAAGGCACCAGACTCAGCCCAGAACCAAATGATTTTTTCCCCAGCAAAATGCCCATTTTTCCCCCCAGGAAAATGCCCTTTCATTCATTAGGATCTGCTTGACTGAAACAAACATGTTGCCCAGAATGAAATATTACATCCAAACTTCACCAATAGTCCAAGTTTGTTTGTTTGTTTTTCCAGATATAGAAAACACAGTTTTAATAGAACATTCTTCTGAGAACCTCACAATTTTACCCCTTGGGTGATTTTCCATTGAAAACATTGGCTAACTGAAGGGTTGGAGTAAACTGGAGTTGAAGAGAGGCAGATCCAGTTGCACATCAGTCACCTCCTTCCCCCACTACTTCTTCTGCTCAAAATCTGGGATTTACTTCCTTCTTCCTTTTATGGGGCTTCTTTACCCAGATGGTGCTACTGACTTTTCTACTCTGGCGAGTGCTCAAGGTGGCAAACCATACTTTAAAATCAGAATTCAGTTCACAATTCCCTAAATTTGGTAAAAGAAACTTGTCTTGAAAGGTTTTCTAAATGCCATGGGGGAGACATGGAACTCCCAAGGAAACTGTTCCATGATCTGGGGGCAATGCTGGAGATAGCCTTTCCCCTGTGCCAAACCGCCCACCCCCAGACCCCTGACAGCTGCGGCATCTTCAGAAAAGCCCCTCCTGGAAACCTTTAAGAGCCAGGATTAATCAGTTCATCCTGGGAGAAAGTCCTTAGATCAGTGTTTCTCAACTTCAGCAACTTTAAGATGCCTGGACTTCAACTTCCAAAATTCCCCAGCCAGCCATGCTGGCTGTGGAATTCTGGGAGTTGAAGTCCAGACATCTTAAAGTTGATAAGCTTGAGGAAGATTGCCTTAGATAGCCTGGCTTGAAGCTGTTGAATGCTTTAAAGGTCAATAGCAATGCCTTAAATTATGCCCAGTGAGTAACTAAGCAACACTGAGTTTGTTCAGTCAAGCATCACATGATTCCATTTACCCTAAGTGGTCTAGATACACATCTGCAACTTCCAAGCACTTTTTAAGAGCGGTTCTGCGTACAACATGCTGCAGGAGTCAAGGCAGGGTCTAACTAAGGATGAATAACCTTTACCATGTCCAGCCAGCTGCAGAAAAGCCAAAGCTGGCACACTAGGTGTGAGTAAAAACTTGCACCACTTTCGAATCCACAGGTAGCTGAAGAACAAAGAATCAAGGAGCCCTCCAAGACATTGAACCAGCTCTTTTAGGGAGTGCAGCCTTATCCAAAATAGGGATGAACCACAGTCTCCAATCCAGTTTAGCTCCTCCATTTTGGAGGGTTTTAATTATACAATCTAGGCAAGTAAGCCAGAAGAACTAACCTATGCAACATTCATATATGAATAAAATAAAGAACAAGAACTGCAGAGTTACATAAATCAAGTCCTAAGAAAGCCAGTGAGATTGACTTCCAAGTAAATAGGTTATAGGCACTTCACAACCTGAGAATTCAGAAATGAAAATCTAAGTGGTATTCCTAAATTTGAAAGCATCACGTTTTTAGCAAGATGTGACTCCATGATGAATTGAAACTAAGAAGTTCTTCTGATCTAATTGCAGGCCCTACATTTGCTCCAGGTTTCCATTTATTCAGGTAAGAATTCTCAGATTGTGTAGCTTTTTACTACCTAATTGTATAGGTTGGGAAACTGAGGCTGAAACCCAGTCATTTGAACAAGGACCCTCATGGGTTCACACTAGAGAAAAGGCTTGAATCTGGACCATCCACACTGGAAGCTCAGTGCCTTCACTGAAATACCAGATTAAATATCACTTCGTGCAAACCACTGAAACTAGCCCAATGTGCTCCAATTAATGTTATTCCTTAAAGAGTTTAGACCAGTGGTTCTCAATCTTTGCCACTTTAAGACAAGTGGGCTTCTAATACCCGAATTCCCCCCCCAACAATAATCCCACCCAGCGGGC